GATTCGCCAAATAATCACGATCGAGGAGTTTCTTGTGCAAATTTGGCACCGTTACCAAGACTAGTGGAAAAAGACCAACCTCCTACCCTGCCTACTGTGTACTTACATGTATGTAATCCACGCTCCCTAGTGAACAAGTTTGATGAATTCAGAACGACAATACTGGATCTCAATGTAGATGTAGCTGGTATATCAGAAACTTGGTTCAGCCCCAGCACACCAATTGAACAATTTGGAGTAGATGGATTCCACCTCTCGTCAAAGTGTAGGAGCACACAACGTGGGGGAGGAGTAGCATTATACATGCGGGAGAGTTTGTGTGCACAAACTACTAACATCAAGGTCCCAGACCATCTTGAAGTGGTATGGATGAAAGCGAGACCCTATCGCCTACCCCGTGAAACATCCATACTCTTCTATGCTGCAGTATATTCTCCACCCAACAACCCACATGAACATGATCTCATAGAACATCTTCTTGATGGTGTTGATTATATCAACACCAACTATCCTCATGCCGGTGTCACCATATTGGGTGACATAAATCGATTGGACACAAGTGATCTTTGCACAGGTACTGGATTCACCCAAGTTGTCAAGCAGCCGACTCGCAACTCAGTGATTCTCGATAAGATTATCACTAATATTGCCAAACATTACCACACTCCAGAAACTAGCTCCCCAATCGGAATGAGTGACCATTCCACAATCATCTGGAGCCCAAAGTCGCGACATGCCCGAAATGCAACTAACACTCGGATTGTCCGCCCAATGAAAGAGTCTGCAATCCGTGATTTCGGTTCATGGATTGTCAACCATGACTGGGAAGAGGTTTACACCAAGTCCTGTGTTACAGACAAGTGCTCAGCTTTTTATGATACTCTACAAGGAGCTATAAACTCCTACTTCCCAACCCAATCCATCAAAGTTCATTCCCAAGATAAACCATGGATGACAACGTACATCAAAAACGTCATCCTGGAAAGACAGCAAATATTCCACACTGAACATCGTTCCCCAAGATGGAAGCAGCTTCGCAACAAGGTGAGGCGCATGATAGGCAAAAACAAGAGAAACTACTATACGAATCGCGTACAGCAGCACAAGAACGCTAATCCTGCTGAATGGCATACACATTATGTCAAATATGAGTAAAAAACATACCATCATTAACCCCCCTCCTGGCGTTAATGTACACAACTCGGAGGATGTCGCGAATTGCATCAACGACCACTTCGTCTCTATAGCGAGTCACCTTAAACCACTCGAAACTGCTTCATTGCCAGCCTACTGTCCAGACCCTCAACCTGACCCAAGAGTACTGAACTATCAAGTCTACGCAGTGCTCAAGAAGACCAAATTGGGCAAATCTGCTGGTCCAGATGGTGTCCCCGCCAGGATAATTCGTGAGTTTGCTTGTGAGCTCACTGGCCCTCTAACAGACATACTTAACAACTCATTTAGCGAAGGAGTCGTTCCACAACAGTGGAAAAAAGCAGTCGTGGTTCCCACCCCTAAAACTACACCAGCTACTTGGGATAAGTTGAGACCCATATCATTGACTGATCACTTCGCTAAGGTGGCTGAAGGATTCATCGCGGATTGGCTATTGGATGACATCAACAGCAAGATTGATCCAAACCAGTACGGCAATCGTAAAGGAGTATCCACGACTCACTATCTAGTGAAACTGTTGGACACCCTTCACAGAAATGCAGATAAACCGGGTACTATGAGCACAGTAGTAGTAACAGACTTCAGCAAGGCCTTCGATTCAGTAGATCACAACATACTCGCCAATAAACTCGTCAATCTCGGAGTTCGCCCCTCTGTCGTAACATGGATAGCCAACTTCCTGAGTGGTAGAGAACAGTGTGTCCGCTACCGTGGTGTAACAAGTGACTGGAAACCGCTCAGGGGAGGAGTACCTCAGGGAACACGCATCGGCCCACTTGCATTTCTGGCACTTGTCAATGATGCAGTAGGGGACATCACACCTACCGTCCTGAAATATGTTGATGACCTAACAATGGTTGGGCATTGTGACCGGAAGACCCCATCGGATATGCAAAGTCATCTTGACAACCTTGCCGAGTGGGTCCAGAACAATCACATGAGACTCAATGCTGATAAATGTGCTACCATGCAGGTTACTTTCGCTAGGGAACTTCCGACCCAACTACCACTCACAATCAACGATACCCCACTCCAGTCAGTCGATGCAGTAAAGATTCTGGGACTGCAAATATCTAAGGACTTAAAATGGGACACTCATGTCAAATCCATCCTAAAGAAAGCTAATGGCAGGATCCACATGATAAAGACATTGAAGCATTTTAATATGCCATTACAGGACATAGTTACAATCTATTCATGTTATGTTAGACCCATATGCGAATATTCTGCTCCTACTTGGCATTCCGGGCTCACTGTGGTAGAAAGCGAAATGCTTGAGAAAATTCAACGTAGAGCCTGTAAGATCATGATGGGCAAACAGTACACTAGCTATGAAAATGCACTTGTTGCCTGCAACCTCAACACTTTGGCTGAAAGGAGGGAGCAGATGTGCATGAAATTCTTCCAATCGCTGATTGCATCCAAACACTACAGCAGCTGGCTTCCGCCAAGTAGGAGGAATGTTCATCATAGAGACCTCAGAAACTGCAACAAATACTCCCTACCTCTTTGTAAGACTAAGCGGTACCAAAAAAGCCCAATTGTTTACATGACAAAGATTTGGAATGAAAACCACTAATAATAACTATCTAGTGGGTCTGACCTCTAGCTGCAATCCTGAATTTTTTTATATGCATTTGTGTTTATGTCGAATTTTTTTTTTTCTTTTGTAACATTTGAGTGTTCCCGTTGTTTTTCTTTACCACAATCCTGTTGTTCACATAACAACCTCCCTTTCCATGCCTTCCATCCCCAAGACAACTTCCCTATCCTACTTGTATCAACCTCTGCCCCTGTGTACACCCAACCTTTCCATCCTTTTTTCCCAACCTTTTTTCCTCCTGTGCGGTTTTACAGCCTGTTTGTACAGAATTTTAAAAAGGAAGCCTGGTTTTTATTGCATTTGTATTTCACTAAACTGTTTCTCTCGATTTTTACTGTTTGTTTTGTATCTGTGTACTTTAATACCATACATGTTTTCCCAGCTCCATTCCCCTCAACCCGTCCCTATCACTCCCTCCCTTCCTATGCCCTCTCATGATGGTTATTCTTTAAATCTCTGTGTAATTTTATTTTTTATGTAACTATTCTGCAATTCCGCTGCTGGCGGCGATAGAATAGAACAATAAACCATTAATAATAATAATAATAAAAAAAGTCACATTAAGCGGGTTCCCCAGCAGGAAAAGCGAGCTCTCAGTTGTCCAAGTCTGCATCAACCGCAGCCACGCCAATGGGCATAGATCAACGGCAGACAGACCTTCTAAACAATCTTAGCTACACTATTTCCTCAATGGGAAAACAAGCCAACGGACTCACAGGGCAGCTATACCGCAGCTACGCCAAATGGCACAAACAACGGAAGACAATTCTTTAGTCTGAACTAAGCCTAACTGTTCCCCCAACCTTCAGATTTACTCCGAGTCCCACTACTATCTTAACTCAGGCCCTACATGTATATATATCTGAAATATCCGACTTCTTAACAACAATCCACCCCAAATCTTATCCGATAAGACCTTAAAATGCACAGGGGGATGTAAACAACGAAGTCCAGCTTTACTGACCGATCGCTCTCAGGCACGCTGGGGCTTTCTCCCGCTCCAGTCCAACCACGGTAACTCAGTAAACGCTCACGAGATTGCTCGATAATTGCTTGTTTCACAACGCGGTCTCTCCCAGTAGTTTACTCATTGAAGTCTCTCACAGGAGTCCCGATCCCACGCCAGGCCACGAGGCAATCGCCCCAGACCATGCCGGACGCACGCTGCTGATTGGTCGGCGTGCGCTATCATGCACTCAATCACGCAGTACACGCCTGCATAATTAATAGCCAGACATGCCCATCAGCCTAGTGTACATGCAGGACGCGCATGCTGATTGGTTGCCCCACAGTATCGCGCGCTTTAACGCGCGGGCTGACATGATGCTTCTGAGGCTAGACATGATATTAGTCACATACCCCTGTTTTGTTACAGTATCAAACATTTTTTCCCAAATTGACAATTTTTAAATTTCTTGACCAGGTGATGGCGGATCTACCGGTACCAGCTCACTTCACATCAGAGAGCTCTCTTGAGAAGCACTATAGAAGCACTATAAGGCCCAGGAGAAGGACTGCTTCTCACGGCTAGAACAGACTCAGACCAGAGCTCTCTTGAGAAGCACTATACGGCCCAGGAGAAGGACCGCACCAAGTTCATCACTACCTTGCTGATGCTTCACAGGGATGGTGCAGACTCAGACCAGAGCTCCCTTGAGAAGCACTATACGGCCCAGGAGAAGGACTGCATCAAGTACATCACTACCTTGCTGGTGCTTCACAGGGATGGAACAGACTCAGACCAGAGCTCCCTTGAGAAGCACTTTTCAGCCCAGGAGAGGACTACATCAAGTACATCGATCACTACCTTGCTGGTGCTTCACAGGGATGGAACAGACTCAGACCAGAGCTCCCTTGAGAAGCACTATACAGCCCAGGAGAAGGACTGCATCAAGTACATCAATCACTACCTTGCTGGTGCTTCACAGGGATGGAACAGACTCAGACCAGAGCTCCCTTGAGAAGCACTATACGGCCCAGGAGAAGGACTGCATCAAGTACATCGATCACTACCTTGCTGGTGCTTCACAGGGATGGTACAGACTCAGACCAGAGCTCCCTTGAGAAGCACTATACGGCCCAGGAGAAGGACTGCATCAAGTACATCGATCACTACCTTGCTGGTGCTTCACAGGGATGGAACAGACTCAGACCAGAGCTCCCTTGAGAAACACTATACGGCCCAGGAGAACGACTGCATCAAGTACATCGATCACTACCTTGCTGGTGCTTTACAGGGATGGAACAGACTCAAAGTCCTTCAATGTAAGACTTTTTCATATTTGAAGAGAAAATGCTCTAAATGTACTTTAAAACGGTTGAGGGAGTAACAGCAAAAGATCTTTCTTGCCCGATTTTTATGCTCAGCACAATAAAACTAAGACAAAAAAAAGTGGAAAATCTGTCAACAGCAGGATTCATCACACTGAATGTTTGGGGACTTTTTGATCGGGTACGACCCGATCACCTTTTTGAAATGGTAATAATTATTCTTTTCTTTTTTTTTTTTGCTGGACAATAATTCTTTACGGGTTTTCTCCTACGTGAACTCGCTCGACCTTTACTTCCGGGTCTACTGGAAGGTCAAAGTTGGGTGAATTTAAATTACAGACAGCAGCCTCAAAATCAAAACGAACCACATCTTTTCCAAACAGTTCACGTGATGACGATAAAACCTAGATGGAATTTGAACCCTGGTCCGAAGATGTAAAAGAAATTGTGATGTCATCATGACATCACCTGGTATCAAATTACAAGCAGGTTAACATGAAAATTTGAGAGCTTACTTTTAATTAGGCTATAACTTTATAATGGAACAGTCTCATTTTTTTGTTGTTTCAGACATTGCTACTGGCAATATTTTGTTCCAGCATGTCCAGGGCGCATACCATTTGACCTATACTTCCAGTGTAATCGGAAGTGCAATGATAATAAATTTAACTGTAGCATTGTGCTACAGTTATATAAATTATGCAAATATTTAGTGAGGAATGTCCAACACAAACATTGGCATGATGACATAATTACACGAAAGGGCACGTACCAGTACATTCACGCAGTGCGTCTCTCCAACTAGGGCTCTCAAAAGTTGTCAAAAAGGGACAATCTACGTAATCTTTATAATCAGCCTAGATATACATGCACCTACATGTAGGGCATACATTTGTTGGGCCTAGTACTTTTCAATTATATTCTCAAAGGTGGCTTCAGTTCAAAACGTAAAATGCACTCAAATTTGATCAAATTGTCTACTCAGATTGTTTATTTATTTATTTATTTCAACCGGATCCAACAGCGGCCAAATCACCAATTACAGTAGCACCAAAAATAATTGCAAACCAATAGTGTCACCAGAGTTACTCTTTACATCTTGCGCTTAACTTTCCAGGTTGTTAACTTGTTGAATGCCTTGTACACGCTGTTCAACGCCATCATTTCCAACTATGACATCTAAAAGGTAAATATTTCATATGACTCAGCAGATTGTTTTAACCAGTTCGCGCTGGACTATTTTGACATTGACCAGACCAAGACTTGGGATTGTTTTCATGAATCTGGATGCCAGACGGCTTCAGGCTGTCATCTACGGGTAGCTCGCTGCAAGCGGGCCACTGACAGACATTTCGGGCCTCGCTTGTTGTGTGTTTATCCATCATCCATTCCGATTACCACAAAACCTTGCGTGTATACATACACGTTGTCTGATGTGAACTGGGAAGCCAAACGTGCCATATCACAGGAAGTTATTTTAAAGGGTACTGCAATAGATTATACTTAATCCAAGTTCATTTATTATGGTTAATATGCAAACATGAAATGATCAACAATACATTGACAGAAAGCACTTAACCCGTAACCCCTTAACTTGATTCTACCATCTTAGATCTGTTTTACTATCAGAGTACTTTACAAGCTATGCTTATACAAATGTAGTCTTGCATATTGACTGCTTTGAGTGGCATTATAAAACAGGTCTAGGAGGCTAGTTTGATTATGCCACTCAAAGTAGTCAGTATTAAAATGGAAGGTGTCATATAGTCCTTTTAGCCATGTACATGTAGACGAAAAATAGCAAATACTATGTGATGCACACTCTCGGCCACTGAAAAACACAGAATCTGTGGGTGCGGTGATATAATTACAAAGAGTCACTTGCATTATCATTGTCAACATTACTGGGCTGTTAGCAGGCGTAGTCATGACAATCACTCAGAGGTTAAGTTGATGCTACCATGGTTACTAGTTCAGGGAAAAACCACGCAAATATGTATGTTCTATTATAATGTCTAAATGCAAAATTATCCAGTGTTAAATAATAACATCTTGCCAAGGTTGAAAGCATCGACGATGCCTACATGTTGGTCTCCTGCCTACTGATCCGTAATGGCAGCCGTCATGCTGGTATGATCGCCTCCACTGCATGGCATCTCCTGGAGGGCGTTAATAGTTGATCATGCCACACAAACAAGATGAGAAACTCAAACTCCGCATCGGTATTCACTCAGGTAAGATCGTTGTCTTTGCTTGTGGTCGAGATACTTAAGATTGATAAATCACAAATACGTCACAAGTCCAGTCACAAGTACATCACAAGTCCAGTCACAAGTACATCACAAGTCCAGTCACAAGTACATCACAAGTCTAGTCACAAATACATGTACATCACAAGTCCAGTCACAAGTACATCACAAGTCCAGTCACAAGTACATCACAAGTCCAGTCACAAGTCCAGTCACAAGTTCAGTCACAAGTACATCACAAGTCTAGTCACAAGTGCATCATCAGCCCAGTCACAAGTACATTACAAGTCTAGTCACAAGTCCAATCACAAGAACATTACAATTTCAGTCACAAGTACATTACAAGTCCAGTCACATGTCCAGTCACAAGTACATCACAAGTCCCGTCACAAGTACATCACAAGTACATCACAAGTACATCACAAGTACTGTACATCACAAGTCCAGGCACAAGTACATTACAAGTCCAGTCACAAGTCCAGTCACAAGTACATCATAAGTCCAGTCACAAGTATATCACAAGTCCAGTCACAAGTAAATCACAAGTCCAGTCACAAGTATATCACAAGTCCAGTCACAAGTACATCACAAGTCCAGTCACAAGTACATCAGAAGTCCAGTCACAAGTACATCATAAGTCCAGTCACACATGCATCATAAGCCCAGTCACAAGTACATCACAAGTCTAGTCACAAGTACGTCACAAGTTTAGTCACAAGTACATCACAAGCCCAGCCCTAAGTACATTACAAGTCCAGTCACAAGAACATCACAAGTCCAGTCACAAGAACATCACAAGTCTAGTCACAAGTACGTCACAAGTTTAGTCACAGGTACATCACATGTCCAGCCACAAGTACATCACAAGTCCAGTCACAAGAACATCACAAGTCTAATCACAAGTGCATCATAAGCCCAGTCACAAGTACATCACTAGTCTGTTCACAAGTACATCGCAAGTCTGGTGGCAAGTCTATCACAAGTCGAGTCCAAGTACATCACAAGTTTAGTCACAAGTAAATCACAAGTCCAGTCACAAGTATATCACAAGTCCAGTCACAAGTAAATCACAAGTCCAGTCACAAGTATATCACAAGTCCAGTCACAAGTACATCACAAGTCCAGTCACAAGTAAATCACAATTCCAGTCACAAGTATATCACAAGTCCAGTCACAAGTATATCACAGTTCTAGTCACAAGTACGTGTACAACACAAGTCCAGTCACAAGTATTTCACAAGTCTAGTCACAAGTGCATCACAAGTCTAGTCACAAGTACATCACAGGTCCAGTCGCAAGCATATATCACAAGTCTAGTCACAAGTACATCACAAGTATTGTACTTTAATATAGCTCTTTGAGAACATCAGAGTCCAGCCGCAACTTAGGATCGATACAAAAAGAGGAAAATTACTATAAAAATAGAAAAACAACCCTTAGTACAGCTAGTCAGACTGTGAAATTATCCTCTCTGGCATTACATGTTGTCATTGTGAAGAACACAATAAAAGAAGGCCATTTCTAAATAGTGTGTCAATTGACACATTTTTTGGAAGTTTTCATTAGTAGTTGGTTTGTGATCAGACTAATCTGTGAATGGGTGTGCACAAGCGTTGACATGACTCATTCAGCGGTTTAGTGTGCAACATTGCAAAGCTTCAATCAGCTGAATGAGAACAAACGTGTCTCAGCAACTTTTGAATAGAAATTGAGATCGTAGAATATTGTTTCCTCTGAAAACACAGCATTCACATATCTTTAACTTCATTTGGGGTAGTTGTTAAGCACCCATCTTTAGATTTTGAGAACTTTTGTTGCTTCAAATGGGAAAAAAATCACAAATGACAAATGATCTACCCTTCCTTCAATTTTCACTGCTGCAAATTCTCAAGTCCATCATATTTCAAAGGAAACATGAGATAACTGTTTCAACCAATCTCTTATATTTTTCCTTTCTTTTATTTCAGGGCAAAGGTGAAAGCCTGACGTACTGGCTCGAGGGACATGATCCAAGCTACAAGATCGACCAAATCAAGCCACCCAAACAAAACTTGTAAACAACCAGAATATTATCCCAACATTATCTGCAACGCATTTGGATCAGCAATTTTTTGTAAAGAGGTAAAAAGCATAATCAGCTATTATACTACAGCGTTTGTAGGTCTATTTGAAAAACCTAACAACAAATTCAAATTAACACACAATTGTGTGTTCACCAACAGATTTGTTGTTCGCGATTACAGCTTTCGTTTAGCAAATTTAAGAAAAAGATTCAGGAAAAAAAAGGTCTCATCACACTTGTACAATAACTAACTTTGATCAAGTCAGTTTTTTTTTTTTTTAACAAAGACTGAAGTATTTTGTAGTCGCCTTTTAATCTACTACCATGTGGAAGTTGTAACAAAAATTCCGTCATCAAACAAACAGACTGTGAGTTCATAACTATACTGTTGAGAGTCACTAATTTGGTATTAAATTGTATTCAAACTAGTGATGCGTATAAAAAAATATTCTTTGTCTGTACCATCCAAGCTTGGGAAAAAATAGCAAAGTGGTACTGCTTTGTTTGTTTGAGTTCTCATATGGTGTTACATCATTTGACTTGGTGCCCTATCATTTGCGTTGGTGCCCTTGTGCTTAGTGCTAAATATTTGAGGTGGTGCAGCACTAAAGGGCACTGTTGTAGCTACAGAAAACTTTAAAGAAAAAAGGAAACTGACTCAACAGATCAAAATTGACGTACAACGATTTTTTTATGGCTGAATGGACAATAATGCAAGTGGGGGATTTTTGTTTTCTTTTTATTTTCAGATTGAGTGATATTAATAACATTTGATAGTCACTACTTATGTTTTAAGGAAATTGTATAAAAAATATGGAGTAAGGTCTAAGGCACGTTTAAAGTAAAACCCATGGACTTGTTTCATTGTTTTTGTCATGTAATGCGGCCGGGGGAGGTGGAGTAGAGGGCGCTATTCAGGACTTTTTCCTGTCACCTTGCAAGATGTAATGATGCCAAGTCACTATAAAGTTATATTTCCCGGATTCGTTTGTATCAAAGATATATAACTAGGCATCCTATCCTATCTACAAGGATGGGACTAATAAGGGAGCAAAGACACTTCTTCTTCAGTGAAACAATAATTTATTCTTAAAAACTCCAAGATTTTTTTGAACCAATTTGACATCTGTATTGATAGGACTCAGCTATCATTGCTTGTTCATCTGTCAACTGCTACGAATACTGCAAAATCTTTGTTTGTATACACGTTATCCGACGCAAACTGGTTAACCTATTTTTTTTTAACCTTGTTCCACTCGAATTTGCAGGATAGCTAATAATGAATACAAGTAAATGTCTCAATCAGTATCAAACATTTTTTCCCAAATTGACAATATTCAAATTTCTTGACCAGGTGATGGCAGATCTACCAGCTCACTTCACATCAGAGAGCTCTCTTGAGAAGCACTATAGAAGCACTATAAGGCCCAGGAGAAGGACTGCTTCTCACGGCTAGAACAGACTCAGACCAGAGCTCTCTTGAGAAGCACTGTACGGCTCAGGAGAAAGACCGCACCAAGTACATCACTACCTTGCTGGTGCTTCACAGGGATGGTGCAGACTCAGACCAGAGCTCCCTTGTACATCGATCACTACCTTGCTGGTGCTTCACAGGGATGGAACAGACTCAGACCAGAGCTCCCTTGAGAAGCACTATACGGCCCAGGAGAAGGACTGCATCAAGTACATCGATCACTACCTTGCTGGTGCTTCACAGGGATGGTACAGACTCAGACCAGAGCTCCCTTGAGAAGCACTATGCGGCCCAGGAGAAGGACTGCATCAAGGACATCGATCACTACCTTGCTGGTGCTTCACAGGGATGGAACAGACTCAGACCAGAGCTCCCTTGTACATCAATCACTACCTTGCTGGTGCTTCACAGGGATGGAACAGACTCGAAGTACTGCAAAGTAAGACTTTTTCATATTTGAAGAGAAAATGCTCTAACTGTACTTAAAAACGGTTGAGGGAGTAACAGCAAAAGATCTTTCTTGCCCGATTTTTATGCTCAGCACAATAAAACTAAGACAGAAAAAAAGTGGAAAATCTGTCAAAAGCAGGATTCATCACACTGAATGTTTTTGGGGACTTTTTTATCGGGTACGACCCGATCACCTTTTTGAAATGGTAATAATTATTCTTTGGGTTTTTTTTGCTGGACAATAATTCTTTACGGGTTTTCTCCTAAACCTACGTGAACTCGCTCGACCTTTACTTCCGGGTCTACTGGAAGGTCAAAGTTGGGTGAATTTAAATTACAGACAGAATAGCCTCAAAATCAAAACGAACCACATCTTTTCCAAACAGTTCACGTGATAACGATAAAACCTACATGTAGATGGAATTTGAACCCTGGTCCGAAGATGTAAAAGAAATTGTGATGTCATCATGACATCCCCTGGTATCAAATAAGTCATTTGCGAGTAACCTACACCCTTTGGGATTTACATTTGAAAAACATCTGGTACACTGACTTGCTCAGAATGCTTGACCCATTTTAACTTTGAATTCTCCAGACCACAGACACTGTTGCTAATCACATGATTCGGGGCAAGCTCTTGCATAGTTATGCTCAGCACCAATACATCGTTCACAATGGGTGAGAATGGCACAAAGACACCAGACCATGCCGGAGCTGGGGGTTGCTAGCATAAGGCTTGCCCCGAATCACGTGATATAGAAACAGTGTCTTTGGTCGAGAGAATGCAAAGTTTAAACGTGCAAACCATTGGATTAAGTCAGCATACCAGATTTTATTCAAATTTAACTCGCAAATGGCTTATTACAAGCTGGTTAACATGAAAATTTGAAAGCTTACTTTTAATAAGGCTATAACGGAACAGAGTAGTATTCTCATTTTTTTTTTGTTTCAGACATTGCTACTGGCAATATTTTGTTCCAGCATGTCCAGGGCGCATACCATTTGACCTTTACTTCCAGTGTAACCAGAAGTGCAATGATAATAAATTTAACTTGAAGACGGAAGTATTTTGCTACAGTTATATAAATAAGGCAAATATTTAGTGAGGAATGTCCAACACAAACATTGGCATGATGACATAATTACACGAAAGGGCGCGTACCAGTACATTCACGCAGTGCGTCTCTCCAACTAGGGCTCTCAAAAGTTGTCAAAAAGGGACAATCTACTGTTTGTGCACGTAATCTTTATAATCAGCCTAGATATACATGCACCTAGGGCATGTAGGGCCTAGTACTTTTCAATCATATTCTCAAAGGTGGCTTAAGTTCAAAACATAAAATGCACTCAAATTTGATCAAATTGTCTACTCAGATTATTTATTTATTTATTTATTTCAACCGGATCCAACAGCGGCCAAATCACCAATTACAGTAGCACCAAAAATAATTGCAAACCAATAGTGTCACCAGAGTTACCCTTTACATCTTGCGCTTAACTTTCCAGGTTGTTAACTTGTTGAATGCCTTGTGCACGCTGTTCAACGCCATCATTTCCAACTATGACGTCTAAAAGGTAAATATTTCATATGACTCAGCAGATTGTTTTAACCAGTTTGCGCTGGACTATTTTGACATTGACCAGACCAAGACTTGGGATTGTTTTCATGAATCTGGATGCCAGACGGCTTCAGGCTGTCATCTACGGGTATCTCGCTGCAAGCGGGCCACTGACAGACATTTCGGGCCTCGCTTGTTGCGTGTTTATCCATCATCCATTCCGATTACCGCAAAACCTTGCGTGTATAACACATTGTCTGATGTGAACTGGTTAAGCCAAACGAACCATATCACAGGAAGTGTATTTTAAAGGGTACTTGCAATAGATTATACTTAATACACTTATCCAAGTTCATTTATTATTGTTAATATGCAAACATGAAATGATCAACAATACATTGACAGAAAGCACTTAACCCGTAACCCCTTAACTTGATTCTACCATCTTAGATCTGTTTTACTATCAGAGTACTTTACAAGCTATGCTTATACAAATGTAGTCTTGCATATTGACTGCTTTGAGTGGCATTATAAAACAGGTCTAGGAGGCTAGTTTGATTATGCCACTCAAAGTAGTCAGTATTAAAATGGAAGGTGTCATATAGTCCTTTTAGCCATGTACATGTAGACGGAAAATAGCAAATACTATGTAAAATATCTATGCCTCGTGGTAAAAACGCCCGCCCAAATTTACAAAAAAAAAACTGCTATACCACAGGTTTCCCTGTAGTATAGTCATATTTTTTATTATTAATTTAATATGGAGGGATACTTCATCAAATACAAATAACTTTTCAAACACAACTGGTTAATTATAACATCAAACTTGATCATTTGAAACAGGTATTTTTATGTGGAAGGAAGTGGAACATTAACGTACATAATTCGCTCATAACAAACTTATGATAAGACCGGCCAATATTGAAAAATCTACTTCAATCTTGTTGACAATATGATGTCAACAATGATGTACCGTTTTTTGAACAGGTGGACATTATACCAGTATAATTTTTGTTTGGGTGTCGTAGCGGGGGGGGGGGGGGGGGGGGGGGGGGTCGACTTTTTTTTAGGAATTTGTAAGATAATTTTTTTTTTTTGACAGAGCGGGTTTTTTGGGGGACCCCCAAAACCCCCCTCTGGATCTGTGCCTGACTGTTTAATATTTATGTAGTGGGACTCTTATAGCTAATACTTACTCATACAACAAACATTATGCTGTACAAAGTTCTAACAGTGATGTTTTTGAAGATAGGCCTAAATGAGGCTGCAATAGAGTTTGATATCAAGGAAAGTACTGGGCATTTTTACCCCGAGACCCCTGATTTTGCCCGGGGTAAAAATGCCCACTCAAAAAACATTATTAAGCAAATATTAAAATAGATTTTAATATTGTAATCATTTATAATTATGTTATTAACCCTTCTTAATATATATCAACTAGAGAATAATAAAAATATAAGCTTTTCAGCGATATAGGCTAAACCTTCAATGGCCATTTTTAAAAAAAAAATTTTACATACGTTCCCTTCAAATATGTTAATGAATTTAATTCTTTTTATTATTAGTTTTTATCTACATTGTACTTATTAAAAATATATTCCATTGAACAATTTATCTTGTAATTTTTTACTAGCAGTGGAAACAAGTCAAGTGGGCTTTTGTTCCCCATTTGGGCTTTTTTACCCCAGTTTACCCTATTAAAATGGAAGGTGCCATAGTCCTTTTAGCCATGTACATGTAGACGGAAAATAGCAAATACTATGTGATGCACACTCTTGGCCACTGAAAAACACAGAATCTGTGGGTGCGGTGATATAATTACAAAGAGTCACTTGCATTATCATTGTCAACATTACTGGGCTGTTCGCAGGCGTAGTCATGACAATCACTCAGAGGTTAAGTTGATGCTTCCATGGTTACTAGTTCAGGGAAAAACCACGCAAATATGTATGTTCTATGATAATGTCTGAAAGCAAAATTAACCAGTGTTAAATAATAACATCTTGCCAAGGTTGAAAGCATCGACGATGCCTACATGTTGGTCTCCTGCCTACTGATCCGTAATGGCAGCCGTCATGCTGGTATGATCGCCTCCACTGCATGGCATCTCCTGGAGGGCGTTGATAGTTGATCATGCCACACAAACAAGATGAGAAACTCAAACTCCTCATCGGTATTCACTCAGGTAAGATCATTGTCTTTGCTTGTGGCCGAGATACTTAAGATTGATAAATCACAAATACATCACAAGTCCAGTCACAAGTACATCACAAGTCCAGTCACAAGTACATCACAAGTCCAGTCACAAGTACATCACAAGTCCAGTCACAAGTACATCACAAGTCCAGTCACAAGTACATCACAAATCTAGTCACAAGTACATCACAAGTCTAGTCACAAGTACATCACAAGTCCAGCCACAAGTACATCACAAGTCTAGTCACAAGTACATTACAAGTCTAGTCACAAGTACATCACAAATCTAGTCACAAGTACATCACAAGTCCAGTCACAAGTACATCACAAGTCCAGCCACAAGTACATCACAAATCTAGTCACAAGTACATCACAAGTCCAGTCACAAGTACATCATAAGTCTAGTCACAAGTACATTACAGTTCCAGTAACAAGTACATTACAAGTCCAGTCACAAGTACATCACAAGCCTAGTCACAAGTGCATCATAAGCCCAGTCACAAGTACATTATTATTATTATTATTATTATTATTATTATTATTAGCAACCAAAGCATCTAAAGTGGTTGGATTAAAAACATTTTGAGAGATATTTAAATTACATTTGAGTTTGAAATATTAAACCTTTTAAATAGCAATGCACATTAAACATTAAAAGCTTCTAAAAGTAACCAAGTTACTGGAAACATACTTTCACATACCTAGAACATGACTAACAGAGCTCCACCGGTCATGAC